AGGTATTTAACTTCAGGGAAAAAACTTTTCTTCAGCATGTTTGAAATAAGCAATAAAACTAAAAATGGGCGCATGAAATTTATACTGAGGACTAAAGCGGCTTAGGTGGTATTCTGATAGGCTAATTTCCAAAGTTTATTTTAAAGTATGCCCCTTTATTGGCTATTGAACAAAAAAAAAAATTTAAAAGAATCTCTTCCCAATTATTCTTTAAGACATTGTTAGTTCAGATTGACTTTCTTTTTCAAAACTCTTTGTTTTACTGGCAAGAGACCATGACTTCTCATGGCTTAGGTTAGCCCTAGGAACAGGATGCAAAAAGAGATGACACTACCTATGGGTATGCAAGGTCAGAGGAGCAGTATGTGCTCTATCCTAAAATAAACAGAGAAGATTGCCCAATTATTTCCTCTGTGACCAGGCACCTCTAACCCAAATGGGTCTGCAAGTGTTTGGGGCAACAGCGACAGGGCTAGAATGAGTGGGCTGAAAGACAAATCATTTTCACTTACAGGTTCTGATTATGCATTTTTAAAATTAATTTTTTTCATCTTTCTGGGTCTCTGTGTGTTTTATGATACATCTATAAAATACTGACAGACAAACATGTTACTCCTTATCCTAATTGTGAATATCTTTACCAAGCAACCATGTTTGTTAGGGATTATTAGGGTTCTAGAAACTGAAAGGACTCAGGAGAGTTCCTAATGGACCTGCCTTAATTTCAGATTAGCAGAAACACAACAAAAAGAAAACAAAACACACAGAGAGGGTTACCTGGGCTGTCCAAGGTCACCTGACCCAGTCAGTCACCTAAGAGTTCAGTATCTTACCTTTCAACTCTAACTTTTGTCCTCGATTATCCATATCTCAACATAATAACTGCTAATAATTTTAACACAAAATAGGAAATAATCTATTGAAATACTTTTCATATATTATCTCATTCATATGATAACCCTACAAGCTAGGTGTTCGTAAATTCAATTTACACATGAGGAAAGAGTCATGCATTAAATAATTTGCTCAAGGTCACAAAGACTGTAATTAGCAGATCCAAGACCAGAGTCTAAGTCTGTGTGATTACGGAGTGCAAGTCCTGCAAATAATGGTGCTCCTTGCTACCATGGGCAGATGTGGTAAAAGGCTGTTTTAGAAAACTGGTCATATTGCTTCCTTGCTGTTCCCCTCCCCTGTCTGCAGGGTTTTATCCACGAAGACACAAATCATTCTTGTTGCTCCAACCTTATGCAACAATAGGTTAGCCTATTTCCCAGTACTGTGCTACAGCTGTCTGAAAACAACAGGATAATTTCTTTTAAAATTCTACAGTTTAGAATTTTCTTTTAGATTGACCATGCTATTCATTGATTAGCTTGAATAAAGTTGTCTTGTTATATTTTAACATTATCAGATTAATCTAGATCAACAAGAAAGGTCAAGGGAGCAACAATCAAGCTATATTATTCATTGGCTTAGGCTCGCTCTTTCTTCTTCATAGCATAAAGGGAGAGTATAGCACAGTTCCTATCCAAATTATAGCCAATCAGAATTAATGAAATTCAAATTCACCATGAGATTTATGGCATTATGACTAGATACTATATACTTATTAGAAAAAATTAACAGGAAACAAATATTTAAAGCTATTATTAAAACAGAAATAGAATAAATTAGAATTCCCTGAGCCCTGATTATCTTTTCTTTTTTCTTAAAAAAAAAAAACACCCTTGCTTTGCGTATGCCAATGACAACAGCATTAATTTTAATGAATACTTGTAATTAAAGTATCAAAGGTATCTCTTGCTTTCTCATAGATCTCAAGAAATAAACCAATATATCTCTAACATCATAATTTATAGACAGGAGTTGAATATAATAATCACATGTTGATTTTAGGAAATTTTTTTTTGGTACCAGGGATCGAACTCAGGACCTTCCGCTTCCAAGGCAGGTGGTGGCACCACTGAGCTAAATCCCCAGCCCCGATTTTAGGAATTTTTTGAAAGGAAAAAACTTTCCAAGGATAGCTTTCAAATTTAAATTTCTAGTCAAGTAAAGATCTTATGCAGAAAACAGCTTTGTTTCTACCTTTACTTTTAAAATCTTTCTGGTAGGTGTGCATACTGTCCTGTCCATTTGAGCCAATCCAGAGCACAAGCGGATCTTTCTGTTATCACTAGGTATTCTTGTGTCTCTGATAACTTTCCCTCAGGTAGGTACAAAAGTGAAGAAGATATGCATGACTGAGTGAATGGAATATAAACAACTCCTGGGCTAACATTTAAAAAACCAAATAATCTAATCAATCAACAAAAATCTCTAATACATCTCTAGCTGGTATGCCCCTGTGACTGCTGAATAATGAGAATGCAAGTTAACTGACTGATATTCTGCTATTTAATTAATACCAAAAAGTTGTCCTCACTCTTACTAAGATCCCTCCATCGGGTAGGAATTGCTCCAGGTGTCTGAGATATACCAGTAAACAAAACAACAACAAAAGTCCTACCTTCATGGAGCTTCCATTCCAATACAGGGAAGGGAAAAAAGAAACAATAAAGGGTATATAGTATGTTAGAAGATGATAACTGCTATGGGAAAATGAGGTGGGGCAGGGAGGGGAGAATCAGTTTATGGGATGATGAGTTACAACTTTAAATGTGGTGGTCGGGGACACCACACTGAGAAGATGACATCTGAGCAAAGAAATAATAGAGGCAAGGGAAAGCCATGCAGCCTTGGGGAAAACAGCATGGTAGGCAGAAGGGACAGTAGAAGCAAAGGGCCCAGACTGGAATGGGACCTGGCCAAAGACGCTTAAGTGGAAGGAGGAAGAAGGTGAGAGGAGTAGGGGCTGCAGAGAAAGTAGGTGTGGGCATGTTGGGAAAATTATGAATGGATCAGAGACCACTGTGATTGACATCCTGCCTTGATATTGACTCCTGTGAAGAGCTGACAGTCCCACTCACTGGAAATGCTATGGTGGTATGCTCAAAGATCAAAATTAAAGTGCAGCTACTAGTATGCAAAGATGCATTTAAGAGGCGAAGGAAACATTTCAGTTTTTTCACTGCTGACCTGCTCCCAAGTGCTTTGGTAGTTCAAATCTATGAAGTAGGACACTGCGGTTGCCTCCTCCTTAGTGATTAGTATAATAGAGAAAACTTATTAGTCAAAGCCAGCTAGAACAGACCTGAATATAATCCTTCTCATTCCTAGCATCTGGACTAGTTTCAAAAGATCCTGACAAATAACATGAATTCTTACTTTTAAAGCTTGCAGATAACTACATTAACTTCTTATAGTCATTAAAAAGCTATGTTTAAATATAAATGAATGAAGTGTATGTGTCTGGGAAGTGAATAATTTCCCTGTGCATAAACAAAATTCTCTGATTTATTTGGTTTAGCTGTACTTAAGGAACATGTTTCAGAGAGGTGCTCTTATTTGCTGTCTATGAAAATATATGGCACTGGTTATTTCAGCTAGAGAATGTCAAGAACTGAATAATCAAGCATTAGGTTACAAAGTTTAAAAGTTAATACAGCAGCACACAGTATTTGTATTAGTGCTTTAAGTAGATAAATTAAATTGAAATGTGTCTCTTAAGCAGTCATTGAACAACCAAGATGAGAAATAAATTAAGCTTCACATCGGCCTTTATGGCATCTAACAACTGTGTCTGTCAACACATGGATCCTTTTCACTGTCAATTCAACACACATTTTGCAGACCTTGGGCCTGCAATTATTTCATTTCCTTTCTTGGAAATGTAATTTCCACTTACTTTTGGAGAATAAAAGGCAGACAAAAGGAGGAAAGAGTTGCAGTATTTTCTGATTAAGATTATCTGTGTAAAATGGTAAAGGAAAAAAATCTATACACACACACTGATGCATTTCTCAGAAACTAACTTGTCTCAGCCAAATTGCTTTTGTGTCTAGATATTGGTTCAAATGTACCCAGATTGTTGATGTCAAATTAGGTGTTAAACAAATTTAATAGGAAAGATGAAGAATGAATATAGATCATCTTTCTGTAAGAACTGTGCAAATGACTCTAGTCAAAAGAAACACATGACTACAGGAGAAAATGTGCCTTTAAACACAATGAAATTAGATAAAACTGTAAATCAGCAAAGAAGGCCATTCATTCCAAA